GCTTCCGGTTCTTCACATCTGAAAAAAAAATAGAATTTGGTTATTCTCTTTGATAAATAGAAAGCAACACTTTTGGAAAAAAACATGCATAAGACACCCTGGAAAAAAAAAGTAATACTTCCTGGAACTGAGTATCTTGCCCTTTAAGGTTTGAAGTATGCCTGCTAAGAAGGACTTTTTTTCATCAATTTCAAAAATAACGATAAAGCGTTATCTTGGCAAAGTGGAGAAACATTACATCAGCTATAAATACATTACTGAGATAAGAAAAAAGCTGTCTGGAAATTTAGACATTCACTGCACGTTCTAGTTAGAATAGAAGTTACTAAGATTTTACCAAGTGTCAATCAGTTGAAGAGTGATTTACTTGAGAACATAAGTAATTCCCTCCCTGGCTTATAATCAAAAGAGGAGGAATAATGAAAAAGTAGAATGGCCCGAGCTGTTACAAAGGTAATATGATGAGGAAACCACAATGCTGTTAAACATTATGTTTAGAGAACTCTGAAGGTGACAGTTAGGTGCCAGCTGCTATACCACCGAGTTAAGTTCAGGCTCAGCTGTTCCAATACATTCTGTGCATCCTACCTGTAAAGGAGTCTGATACAGCCATTTTTCTTTATCTCCATTGAGTTTCATACACGCAAAAAGGTCACAAACTGTAGGAAGGCCAAAGTCCTGAAAGACAAGTCACCTTAGTTACTGATCTCCAAACATAAATACATTCTGATGTATTTTCAAATTCTGTTAAGTGTTCAAAAAGAAAATAAAACTGACTTCTGAGTCTTTGAGATTAATACTTTCTTCATTTAGTAAACTATATTAATTTTTGTGTTAAATGCGGGCCTCATCTACTTAAGTAACTAAATAATAATCACTGAAAACATTAAAAGAACTAAGAAACCTAAAAATGGTCAGTCGGTATTACCCAGAAGAGCTATGAATTTGGAAGAGACGACAGGCATTAAATTCAGTAAAACAACAAACCCAGCACACTGTCTAAAGACACGGCAGTAACAAAAACTTAGGAACATGCTCACTTGTGCTTTCTTGCGTAGAAGCCATTTATCTTCCACTGGAGGCGGGTTAGCATTTTCTAGGTTGTTTGAAGTCAACACCCAACTGTTTACATTCAAGGGGAGGTGGAATGGAGCCAAGAGGTCTCGGAAAGGACTCTTGGAGCTATTATCTGCTTTTTCCCTACTTGCCTCTTCTGCACTTTCTGCTTTGTGCTCAGACTTGGCTAGCCAGCTTGTCAGAGGCCTTTCGAGCAATACTTTCAAGGGTTCTGCAATCTCTGCTGAATAATCTGCTTTCTCTGCACTAATGGGTTCCCCTGAGAGCTGCTGTGCAGGGTTAAGCCAGGTATTGGCAGCAGATGTGGTCTTCTCATGCTCAGGGTTTGTTACGTCTTTCTGGCTGACTGGAACTCCATTTTTATCCTTAGCTTCCTTCTTCAGAAGCCATTTACACAGAGCTTCTTTTCCACAGTTTTCATCACACACGCATTCTGAAAAGCTGGCACACAGCTCATTAGCTTTGCACACATCTTCCACTTTAAATGGGGCCTGGGGATGCTGAAGCAGCCAAGCATTTACAGCAGATGTAGTGGGTGATTTCTTTCCGTCAAGATGCTCATTCAGGCACTTCAGACTTCCCAGGTTCTCTATTTCCACACTTTTGATCTGGCTGCCACAACAACTGGTACATGTTTCAGCTTTGAGGAGCCAATCATTCAAATTAAATTCTTCCCTAAAAGGTTTAAATTCATACTTCCATTTGCCATCTGAAGCACTACTTTCATTTTCTGTGTCAGGAGTAAGCAGCCAGTCGGAAAGGTCCATCTCTTCTTGTCCAAGGGATTCAAATTCCTTCACCTTTTCAACAGTGGAAAAGGACAAGCTGGAAGTAGAGGTGGAGTCCTTGCAGCCCGGGGAGTCTGTCTTCCCAGCAACATCATGCTGTTGATTCTGCACGAGCCAGTTTTCCAAATCTCTCAGATTTCCCCAGGCTTGCTCAAAATAACAGGCTTTGGAAGATTTTAAATCCTAGTAAACACACATTGAAATGCATCTATTAGCACCAAAAGACAATGTTCAGTAGCTGTTTGCACAGTTACAGCTTGGAGCATCCTGACAGTAAGTACAAAAGTATTAGCTGAACATGAGGCAAAGTGGAGAGAATTACAGAACGTTTAGTTCCCACCATATTTGCCACATTCAGTTAGAAACTGTGCTTTCCCCTTTATTGAAAGCTAGGTTAGTGCACAAAAGGCTTACCTGGTTGGGCTCTGACACACATTTTTGTGTAACCCATTCTTCAAGATTGGTGCTGGGAACATACGGAGCCTGGCAAACACCACCAGGTCTGCTTCCAAGTAACCAGTCAGCAAGCGAGGCACTCATTGTCCCACACAGTGTTTTCTGCTAAGAAAGAATCTTCTTGGTTATGAGAGAGTCTAATTGCTGAGGCAATCCATGGTGAACATTAAAACAGTCATTCAACATGCGTCAGTACTTCCGAACCAAAAGAAAACCCAGTCCCTTCTAATTCAGGAAAAAGTAAATCTTCAATCACCTGCATGACTTTAAGCCACTGCATTGATAGATTATTTTGTGATCCCAGATTCTCCAGAGAGCAAATGACAAGAAACAAGAGTGACAACTTCTACAACACACAGCTCTGAGAGGTGTAACCCCGCCATAACCCTCCTGACCACAATTCCCATTACTAATTTGCTATCCTCCTTCACAGACGCTATTTCTGTGCAGAGCCCAATGTAAGATTTCCCATTAATTTCTGCATTAAGAGGAACTGGATAGTTCCAGGTCCTGACTTGACAACATCAAGGAATATTCAATTAAAAAATTCTGACAGTCGCACTCCAAATAGACTTTCATACTATATTCTTGCCTGTCTGCTCCTGGAGCAGCGAGAACATCAGATCACTAATGCTCACCGCAGTGACTGTTACTGGCTACTCAAACATCTTAACAAACAAACAGAAGTCATCGCTCAAGCATGCTAACATACTGTGCTTGAGTTCTCCTTTTTCCTTTAACACAATTAAACATTCACAGATACAATCTTACCTGCTCACAGTTCATTAGGGCACGATTCTGCCCTGGGAACCAGGGAGAAGTATTCTCTCTCTCTGAAGTTTGCTGTAAGGAAAGAAAAGTAAAAGTTAATTTAAATTGCAGTTTTGTCCAGTTAATGGGATGAATTCTACAATGAAGCAGAAGTAAAGCGCAGTTACAACTGGTCATTTTTTTTGTGGCTAACAGTTTTCCTAACATTTAAAAACAGAATAGAGAAAGATTAACTATAAAAATACTACCTTCAGTCCACTTCCTTCAAGAGAATATTATCTCCAATAATACAGAAGATACACTACTTACATAAGAATCTCAAAATATTTATATTACAGAAAGCCATCTATAGTGTATAACTATTAATATCTAAAGAAAACTAACATTAATTTCCAGTTCCTGGAATAGAGTAAGAATACAATCATAATTCCCTCAGTCTCTGCCAAAATATATTAAAATAACATGTACATAACCAGATCTAAGCTCAGTCAAAATCAGAACTACATGCAATAGTTAATAAACCACTGTGTATATATTATACAGCTAAAACTACATGACTCATAGAATCATAGAATGGTGTGGGTTGGAAGGGACGTTAAAGATCATCTAGTTCCTACCCCGCTGCTATGGGCAGGGATACCTTCCAGTACACCAGACTGCTGTCTAATATACTGCGCTACTGCCTCAAAAAAATATTTTTTTTTCAAGTATTCCAACCCAGGGAAGTCTTGGTGCTTACCATTGTTTTAATTGAACCAAATGAGGTAATAGCCTGGCGAAGGTAAGATGTGTCAGCCTCAAAATTCAGGATAGAAGACTCCTCTGGTTTAAGAGTAAGACCTCCCAGTCTGGAGGAGTAAGACGACAGATACAGAAAGAAAAAAGAAAAAAAAAAAAAAGACAATCTTCGTCATCTATCATCTCTTGGGAATCAGTCCATTATTTCATAAAAAGGGTTCCAAGCTGACTTAGCACTAACTAGGTAACAGAAAGACTTTTAATACTTGCATAAAAATAAAGGGATGCCTATCCACAAACTAAGAGCAGAATAGAATAAAAAAATCAGATTAAGTTCATAAGTCAAAATAAATACTAATTGCGTTAACTTGCATCATAAAATTATTTACCTCTCCAGGCAAACTGAAATCTGGTTCGCTAGTTCGTTACTATAGGAGCGTTCCAGCTGATGAATAAGGCAGTTGAATTGTCCCAAATACTGCATGGAAGACAAAACACATGTTATTGTTTTGGCTTCTAAGATTAAAATTGAGAAAATACTCGCAAGGACAAAGTTTACTTAAAAATGCCAGTGCAACAATTTTACAACCAAGTCTTACCCAATAGAGCTGCTGCGCCTGCTGCTGCAACACCTCCTCCTTCAGCTGCTGAATTAGATCTACCTGTTCAAACAGCCACACCTCCCGGCTGCGCAGGCACTCCAGGTGGCGGCTGATGTGGCTGTGAATCTTGGCTTTTACCTGTAAGGTAACATAAACCATTTCTAGTGCATCTGTCAAAAAGTGAACAAGCATATGCTGCACCAAGTACAAAATAGTATTTGTCACAGAGAAGTGGCAGTTCTAGAGCAATCTATTTCTCAAAAACTAATCACAGTCACACAGTACCACTTGATTCAAGCTAGTAGAAGTTACAAGGCTACCTTTAAACAAGTACCAAACAACATTATTTGCAATATCTTTCCATTCTGATGTTTCAACCAACAGCTTTAGTAAAGTCTGCATGCCTAAGCTAGTAATGCAGGAATCCCTTTATCAAGAGCATAACCAAATTACACAGCTAGATGCTTGCAAGTCTCTAGGAAAATTTCTGACCACCATCATAATAGGAAGTACTCTGAAATAATAAAAGCTGGCATTAAAGTCATGTTAGTTATTAAAACATTTTTTTCTAAATAATTTAAAATTACCTCCCGCCAGTTCTCTTTAATCTGTTGTTCAGCTTTGACAATTCCAGATATAGCTGTTTCCAAGTCCTTCTTTGCTTGAAGGCACTTTGCCAGAGGCTCGCTGCTGCAGGAATTTCTGCTTCTATCTTGTGGTGGACTCATTCTTGAAGTGTTTCTAAAACACAATGAAAAAAAATAAATTCTTAACAGTTTCTATTCCACTTTAACGAAAGAGGAAGGGCATCATATGAAGAACCATCTGGTCTACTTCACAACAAAAAAACCAAAAAAAATCTTAAGACCCTACACCAATGTAAGTTTTCTAAGCACAGATATAAAGCTTTCTCCAGGAGCGAAAACAGTCTCTCCAACGCCTCAGCCCGCGGAATTTGCACAATCGCAGGAAAACCAACAGATATTTGACAACAGCTTCAACCACAAGAACTTAGGCAATCCTCCTCTGCCATTTACCTTCCTCTGACTTTTATGTCTAGCCAGCAAACTCCGGCAGCTGAGGGCTGATTCAGACAAGGTTGAGCAGCTCTGCTGGAGCTGGGGGAGAACCACCCAGCAAGGAGCAGGAACAGTTTCAGTCACCCTTTGTTCAGCTGCAGGCAAATGAACTGGCTCCCATAAATGAGAAAATTATAATACAGTTTGATCAACTGAAAAAACAAGTGTTGATATACAGAGCACTCTTTACTAAGCTGCAAAGGCTGAAACTTACAGCAGCTGCCCATTATTTTTGTCATGGTCACAGTCACAGTAATTTCATCAGCTTCAGCATATCCTCAAGTAAAAGGGGTTTAGATAGAAAATTTCTACAGAAGTTACACTGGTAAGGATTCTGCAAGTACAGGAAAAAAGCTAAATATGGATTTTTAGTAAAAATGGGAAGCATCAATATAAGCGTTTTTTTCTAAACTATGGGTACTTTGTTACCAAAGACTTTCAGTTTTTCTGTTAGTTTCATGGGACTCCTGAAGCACCAACCAAAGATATGTAGTAAACATTCTGTTTAAAACAAGTCTTCAACAATGACAGCTATGGAAATTCCCAGAAGTATTAATTAAAGCATACACATGTGCCAATCTAAATATTTCATAGATTTTACCACTCCTCTGGAGGGAACTGAAAATATGACAAGATGACCACAGAGCTTCTGTTACTGAGCAGCTATTTAGTTTGCAATTTCCAAGCCCCATGACCATACAAACTGCAACTCAAAAATCCTTCCACAACCAAAACCCACCAGATACATACAAGCTGTGTATTTCAGAAAGCAGAGTGCTAGGGGTGGTTCACAGAAGCCACACCAAACCCCTGCATGCAACCCAATCCCACCCTCGCCATAACATCTCATCTTCTAGGAAGCACGGGGTACAACTACAAGAGAAAAGAACCTGAATTTATTTTTTTAAGCATATATTAATTCAACACCAAATCAGGCAAGGTGTAGAAATCCAAAACACATCATCCTCCATTCTGTGATATGAATGCCAGTTTTGTCCTTGTATTTCCATACTCTAATTCATTCCCAGGTTCAGTTCTGTAAGGTTTAATGATCTTCACCTTGCTAGTGATGTTCAATAAAAAGTATGCTTTCTCTTCACAACACCCTTTAGATTTTATCCTGCTTGTCAACTCTCATGTACAGTCTACAGGAAAACATAAGTGGGAACCCTAGCTCTCAGATGTAATCTAAAAGTATTAATGCAAAGGCAGAGATATACCCAGCCAAGAAAACAAGGACATTAGATACATATTAAAAGCTGTCATATAGTCAAAAGCAAACAAAACCCCCACATTGTTCTTTATTATTTCATTCATCACCCCGACATCACAATTGAGTCAAAGTCCAAAAGGCTAAAAGTAATTTCCATGTTCGCTCACACAGTAGAAAATATGCTTTCCTGCAGCCAGACACCTCCTGTAAAATCGTTGTCCTTATGCTTTGTCCAAAATTAGCCAATAAAACTAACATTACAGTTGAGTCAATCCATCCTTCTTTTCAATTTCTGCAAGCCCCTAACAAAAACAAGAGGGAGTAACCACCTATCTCCTTATTTCCCAATTATCACCAAATAGCACTGGAAGTTTAAGACACTTTCATGTCCTGCGCCGGCACACCCGAGATCCTACACTTAGGCTCAACAACAGAATACAATTACTGCTGCTACAGGATACATGGTTGCAATACAGAGTCACCATTTTCGGCATTTCCACGTCATCAAACTGTCTCCAGCCACGCGGAGGTCCCCCTCCACGGGTACACCGCATCACGGGACGCGCCCCCCTCCCCACCAGCTGACCCCGCACTTACTTTCCGCGCGAAGGAAGCGATTCCGCAG